GAGGCGCTTCCTTAGCTGAGAGAGAGAGAGAGAGAGAGAGAGAGAGAGAGAGAGAGAGAGAGAGAGAGAGAGAGAGAGAGAGAGAGAGAGAGAGAGAGAGAGCGAGATGGTCATCGCAATGCATATTATAGTAAGCGTTTCACTGTTAGTCTACACCTATTTTTTAGGAAGCATGTGACGAATAGAATTTGATTCAATTTTGATTTTATCACCAAGCAGAGGCTAACTAAAAGCTGGTTAACATGTGCCTTCCATCCGGAGGAGTATCAACACGCCATATATCTCAGACTACATAGGGCTGTGAAGACTCTGGCCCAGCTCGCTAATCACTCATTACATACCGTGTAATTATACGTTTGGCTTATTGTTAGAACCAACAGACAGAGGACTGAATGAGGCACTGAAGCCTTGCCATGCGTCAGCTTATCCTCAGCTCCGTGCACTATAGAACTTTGAGTTGGTGAATGTGTGTATGTGTGTGTGTGTGTGGTTGCGTGGTTGCGTGCGTGCGTGTGTCGTTGGATGATTATTGTGTTGTTTCATTATTTAAAAATGAGTGCAGACAATATAAAACCATGTTGATTAATTATCTCTTTGTCAACAAGCTACTCATAATGAACAACAGCCACCTATGGAGGCGAGGCGAACAATAAAACAAAGAATAGATCAAAGGAGAAGGTACTCGAGTAAAAAATAGAAAACTGTATGTAAGTTGCACATTATGCAATCATGAAAGCTTTCTTAGCAGTTGACGGTACGTTTCCCACTTATCTCTGTCAGGAGAGCCATAAGCCACAACTTCATATGATATTACAGTGGCAGCCTAACAATCGATACACATAAATAAGATCCAATTTCTGTAGTGGCCTTTTTATTAATGAACAAGGTTGTGTGTGTGTGTGTGTGTGTGTGAGGGAGGGAGGGAGGGAGGAGTTTGATCATTACCCCTCCTTCCATGATCTGAACATGAATTATTAACCGTGTTGATCGAGCGTCAATGTTCATCATACACAACAAGGCCGATTCGGCTGTCTGAAGTCAGTTTGATGAAGGCTGGTCTTAAACAATCTTTTCCACCTATAGTTTCTCACCCCTCAACCTGGTTTACCCTCCACGTTCTCTGGTTCAGTCTCCCCCATAGACCCGATGTCCCATCCACAGTTTAGTTCTAGTTCTGAACTAGAGAGAGGGTTTCTGACATGAACAGTCAGTGTGAAAGTTTTAAAATGTTGCCTGGGTGGGAAATAATTGTAAGACGTTTAACATACGACAGAAGATAAAATAAATAGGCTAATTATTTGGTCGATATTTAGACAAAAATAATACATATGAATTAATTTATGTTGGTTAGCTGTTATATATTTTATATAAATATTCATAATTATAGAGGTAGCCTATGCGATGTATTTGACTTCGTATTCCACCATGTGCATCATGCCTTCTATATATAGGTCTTTACTCTGCGGAGCCTTCGGTTTTCCCACTTAATCCCCACAGCCTTTAGGCCTACAGGCTGCATGCAAGACAACCCCCATCACCATGAGTGTCGTATGGAACAGGACAGTCATGCAGTGTCATGTTGGTTTAATGTAGCCTATGGTCTCTGCCCGTGTTAATAAGCAGTCTCTCGACTGAACAGAGGACTGACTGCCAGATACTGTTGGCCATCATTTGTCTGAAGTGGTAGCCTACAATGTGGGGGGACATGATGAGGACATATTTAATACAATAATTCATTGATAGTAGATGGTGTTTTCCAAATGTCTTTTGTGGGATGGTATATACATCCATAAAAACACCCAGGTGCTGGACTAGAGGGTAAACTGAGGAAGACCCAGTTTGGTTCGAAACGCTGTCCAAACGATTAAAATACACTTTGAAAGCAGCCTACCAGACATATTTATTATTTACTAATTTCCCAATTTCTTTCACACAACATTGAACATTTCTTAGATCGAGGTTTTATTTTTTTGTCATGTCACTGACTCAGGAAAAAAAATCTCCCTTTCATAATTGATATTGTAGCCTACATTTTTAAGCTTTAAAAATATTTAGGCTTTTAACAATTTCCCCAATCATTGAGCATAGGCCTATAGACGTAGCCTACAGTTAATGGAATGTGACAAGCGATACAAAAGGGGTGTGTAAAGACAAAGACAATAAATATATAATTATGTGGTTTACTTAATTCGGTTAAAAACCATATAGGCCAAGTGTAATACGAGAGAAGAACATTCCTTTTTTTTTTTTTAGATGCATTGTTTTGGAAATGTGAATGGGGTAAATTCATTTTTAGTTTTTCTCATTTTAAAAGGGTTTCATTTCACACTGCTATGTTGTCGAGGTTCTCAACAGGAAAGACCTGACCCTGACAAATACTATACATCATAAATCATATTCTAAACATGTGCAAAACTTTACCTAGAAATATATAACATCTGAGATCAAATGCAAGATATCAACCATAATAGATGTTCAGCCTTTGGATGAATTTGGATCCGAGTCCAAAGAAGCATGGCACTGCTTGACAGAAAACATGTTTGGGAAAGTTGGTCAGATGTAGAAATGTCTCTCCTTCCAAATGTCTCTCTTTAACCGTTACAGTGTACTACATCAGTGGAGATAACATCTGTCAGGTCAGAGTGAAACATGAAGCTCACCCCCATGTCTCAAACACCAACCACAACAAACAATAACAAGTCACATGAGGTGTGGAACTCCCAACAAAAAAAATGTGATGTTGATGCAAGAAGACATTACAGTTCAGTAGGCTATTTTATCAAATACATTTTTAAATACTTTCAAAAATGTATAGCCCATTTCCAAGTTTGGAATTTGAAATATTGAGGATATTCACGATTTAATTAAATATAGGTTACCGAAGTTCTTGAACTGTATATAGGCTCATGACCAAAAGTAACTGTGATGTTGTGCCATGGATTAGACTATAGGCCTAAAAAAGTTAAAATCTTAATTTAATGTGTGCATGCAAGGTTAGCCTACTATTTAGTACAAAATAACGTATAGACCTAATAACATAATAGGCCTATGTTTGTTATAGGCCTATATGTTATATGTGTTGGTCACTAAAATGAAGCCAATAGATAACCTCGCTATATTGTTACCATAAGCAAACCCGTTATAGAGGCACTGAATTGTAATAGGAAGCAGCGAATAGGTCGTATTCTCTCGCCAATGCATGAACCCTCTTCTCTCTGAGCACGAAGAGAGCACATGCACGGAAAGACTTAGACTTAATCAAGTGCAAGTTGTAAAAATAATTTGCTATTTCAGTAGCCTCCAACCCTCCTACAGCTGCCCCCCCTCGCCTTCCTTTGTTCTCGCCAACTCTAATAGGTTTTCCCCTGCCACACACAATTCACTTTTTTTCCTTTTTCTTTTTCCCTCCTCTTCCCCTTTTCCCCCTGTTTTGTGCGGAGCCCAGTGTGGACTGGAGCATTTGAGCAATTTGAAATTAAAGCCAACAGTAGGGAGCCCACTCCCGGGGACCTCTCGCTCTCCATATTACACAGGAAGACGCTCGTGTGCTCTCGCGCATTATTGGCAAGTCATTACGTTTCTCTGGAAACCAAACCGGGAGGGAGCGGGCTCCCGGACGGTGATGCAAGCCGCCAGCAGAGCGCGTGCAGAATATATCCATGCACAGTGCAGTTTCTCTGATTGATTCAACCAAGATTATGTCATTACAACGTTTAAAACAAAAGTGAAATGCAATCTTGTTTAAAGAAGTGTGCTTTTGCATTTCATGTGTGTAAAGGGGAAGTAATTTATTGAGTTGATTAATAAAAATACAAAATGTTGAAAAAAATCTTGATTTGATATGCCCAGTTGTGTAAAAAAAAACAGTTAATAGATTATTTGGGATTTATTTTAGCTCATAATTTGACTATTGAGTCTTCCAAGAGTTAAAGACAAAAACACATATGTAAAAATATTATTTCATGTTTTTCTCTAATTTAAGTATCAATCAGCAATGTTTGAGAGCAGATTTGACTGTATACAATTACCCCACTCATTCTAACCCAAGAGTAGTTCCACATACATTTCTCCCTCACTGTGCCTATTCCTTAATCCATTTTGCAACACACACACACACACACACACACACACACACAGAGGATGACATATAGGCCTAATTGGCAAGGCAATGACAGTGACACAAACAAACACGTCTATGTTTTATTCAGGCCTAATGTAAAGGCAGCGGGCACACTGTCAGATGTGTATAGGCTAATAGTGTGTGCAACCAACAAAAAACTTGGACCACACATGCATCATGCAATGCACCATGACATTTTCATATGCAAATAGCATTTGATTTCTATACCTACAGTGTCTTAGTGCTCAATGAATGACATTATATTATTTGAGAGCAAAATTATGTCTAGGTTTTCTAAACATGGTTTTAAACTATAGGCCTTAGCTACATCTTTAGGCTATTTACAAACTCTTCAATGACAACAATAGCCTACACAAACAATGGAGTAATAGTCATACGTGTTTTTTTTAATGATAAGGTAGGCATAATTCATATTTTTAAATACCTCATGTTGGTATTTGGTGGATACAATGTTGCCAATCGCAATTCACCATTTGTAAAAACCACCCATGGCAGTAGCTAGCGTTACAAAAGTTTCCAAAGCAAACACATTCGTTTTAAAAGGCCATGTGGAGTCAAAATGGCGCCACGCACACTGGCAACACTCTCTGAGCCAATCACATCCATCCTTTCTGCCCTGTCACGGGCCATTAGTGATTACGCACTTCCACTTCCCGACGGGCCGCTTCTTCTCGCTCGCGCCGTGTGTAGCCTTCGCTGAAGTGGAAAAAATACGGTGTCGAAACGGAATGTAAACACGACTAAAACATGACCTTTCGGCCAAGTGGGACCTAAAGCGTTGTCACAGTGGGTAGATGAGGATCTTCTGCAAAGGTTTAGGCTCATCTTTGTTGTCTTCGCATGTACACTTTCTCCGTAGATGGTCTCCGGCGAGCTGTGCCTGGCAGCGGACAACGACTTTTTGGCGAATAATATGAAGGAGATGATTGGAGGTTGCTGCGTGTGCTCAGACGAGAGAGGTTGGGCAGAAAATCCTCTCGTCTACTGTGACGGTCACGGCTGCAATGTTGCAGTCCATCAAGGTAAACACCGAATAAAGTCAAATGCATGTAACATGAAATTTGCTTGACTAACATCCGAGAACTAACGTTAGCGAGCTAGCTAACAACTCACTAAGGCTAGCTTTCGCTGATCGTCTGCCATGAAGCTGGCTAGCTATCAACGTTAGCTGGGGTGTATTCATTACGTCGATTCTGTTGCAAAACGTTTATTAAATGGACGCAAACGGAACGAAACCGGGAGTGACCTACATGCATTTGTCCAATAGAAACGCTCGTTTTCAATGTTTGCTTCCGTTTGGTTTTTAAACGGTAAACGGTTTCCGTGATGCCCATACCCTAGTTAGTTTAGCTATTAGCTAGCTAGATAGCGAACTATTCAGGTAGCCAGTAGCCAAGGTTATATTGCTAGTTAGGTAACGTTAGTTCTATTCAATCCACAGTTGTGCGTTCGTATAGTGGTAATGTTTATCATTGGGTAAGATAAAGTAGCTAACATGTTAGCTGATTTCTACGAATTGTATAGCCAGGATAACATTACAGCCAATCTTGACAACTACAGACATTTATTACTTTAGCCAACTCCATACCTACGCTACCTAGCTAGCCTTCCTATCTAGTAGGTATGGAGTTTGCTAAAGTAACTACAATTTCTGCAGTTGTCAACATTGGCAGTAATATTATCCTGGCTATACAATTCGTAGAATGTAGCTAACATGTTAGCTATATTGTCTTACCCAATGATACACATTACCACATTATATCCGTAATGATAGCCAACTACTAAATCATATTTGCCTATGTATTGCTAGATACGTTTTGTAAACAATAGTGCCACGCTGTTAGGGAACTAGCTAAGTTGTTATACAGAACGAACCAGGCTATGTAGCTAGCTTAAGATTGTTTGCAACACACTACACCCAAACAAGACAGATGTTTTCATAGATCCAAACAACAATGTCAACGGCACTCAGATTCTGTTGACTTAAGTCACGATCAGAACTAGGCTGACCGACTGGTATCCAGTCAATACTGTGATTTTGGCTTTGTGAGAGAGAGAAACTAGTGATCATTGTCATGCTTCGTGTCTTAGTTGTCATAATTCTGGTGATTTGAATATCTGCCCTCATACCCATATAACTAAACACAGCTATTTGTACATGCTTTAGACCCTTGTCTCCTGAGTGGCGCAGTGGTCTAAGGCACTGCATCGCAGTGCTAACTGTGCCACTAGAGATCCTGGTTCGAATCCAGGCTCTGTCGCAGCCGGCCGCGACCGGGAGACTCATGGGCGGCGCACAATTGGCCCAGCGTCGTCCAGGGTAGGGGAGGGAATGGCCGGCAGGGATGTAGCTCAGTTGATAGAGCATGGCGTTTGCAACGCCAGGGTTGTGGGTTCGTTTCCCACGGGGGGCCAGTATAAAAAAATATATATATGTATTCACTAACTGTAAGTCGCTCTGGATAAGAGCGTCTGCTAAATGACTAAAATGTAAAAAAATGTTATTAAATACACACTCATTTTATATGTGAATTAATTAGGTCTAAATGTAATCAGTAGCTAACCAACACACTGTGACACTGTTATAACGATCGCTGACCCCTCTGTCCACAACAATAGACAACGTTACCCTTTTTATTATCAGTGGATTATTTCTGTTGATTAGGGCTGTCCCCCCCCCAAAAAAAAAATATTGGTCGACCGAGAGTCGTCCTGTTCTTTCGACCAATCGAAATGTTAAAACTTATTTTTCCATAAATAGACACACAACCGATGTGTTTGAATAAGATAAACTACATGTGTACTGAGCTTGTCTGACGCTTTAAGCACACTGTTTGATTAAGTAATTAAGACATACAAATGGCTCGAAAGAGCCTGATGGTCACACTGTGCTGAAAAAAATTGATAGCCAGTGCCTGTGTGACTGGCCCACGTTGTCTCTCTCTCCTCCCTACTGTAGCAAAAAGGTAGCACTGCAAGTGTTTATTGCTCTGTCCTGTCCGTGCTAAAGCGGCAAAATCATTTCAGCCATTTCGTTTCTTACTTGTTTCTGAGTGAAAAGTTCTGTTACTGAAATCCCTAATTTGTTTAGGAAAAACATTCACTCTTCCCTCAACCCTTGCTCTCTCTACATGAAACATGTAAGCATAGCATGCATGTGACCAATAGGGCCTGACCTATAGTCTATCATAATCACATCAATAAATTGGTTATAACAAACTCTGAACACAGTAACACGTGACAGCAAAATGGATGCGGAGGACATGAAAAAGAAACTCGAAACAGGCGAATGTTTACTGGTTGCTCAGGAGGGAAAGGGGAGTCAGATCTATGGAAGACATTTGAAATAATTGTGGAAACTACTAGAGATCAAGAAAAAGGAAGGTATAGGAGCAAGCGTTGCGTGAGTATTATGTGTGCCAAACAGTTGCTGTTAGTTTACAATATTATTACCTTTTCTGACCATTTGGAACAGTGTAAACAACACTAAATAAATAAGTGTAACTGAGAGTCTGATCTAACAAAATATATATAAAGCCTTTATTACAGCAGATTAAAAACAATTGCATGCATTCGTTTGCGGTTTATTGTTTAGGCTAATTATTTAAAGCTCCCGTTGTTATTTAATTGTAAAACTAAAATGCTTGATTACATTTCAAAGCATGAATGTCTTGTATGCTGTGTGATGGCACGAACGAATGAATCATTGATTGATACAGTAGCCTATATATTGAAATATAGGCCTAAGTAAGTTACAGTATTAAGACTAAACAGGACGCGCTCTAAGGCCTACAGCTCGATGGTGGTTATACAAGGCTGCTATACTAAGCCTACTAATGATAATGACATTACTTATTATAATGATGATCATAATAATAATAGTAATAATAACAATAAGAAGGAGATCAAGAAAAAGGAGGGTATAGGAGCGAGAGCTGCGTGTATATTATGTATGACAAACAGGTGCTGTTAGATTACAATATTATTTTCTGTCTGTTTGGGACAGTGTAAACAACAGTAAATCAGTTATAAGTTATACCAGTCTGTTCTAACAAAAACAATTTGTGTAGCCTTTTATTACAGCATAGCAAAGATTAAAAACAGCCCAATCTGTGAAAATGCTTTATCCAACATTTTGCCGTGCATGAGGCTTGGTGCTCACGGAATCAGTATGCATTAAACAAACCTCAACAGCAAGTCGTCTTATTCTGAGAATTGGGAAAAAAGTATTAGTCAGCCACGTGACTCCACTAAAAGATGAGAAGGCCTGAATTTTCATCATAGTAAAGTCAACTAGACACAAATCAAAGCATTCCGGAATCACATGTAAGATTTTATGATTTATTGCAATAGTGGAAAAAAGTGGCAATAAAAAGTTCTCAATACTTTGTTATCCCTGTGCAATGACACAGGTCAAACGTTTTCTGTAAGTCTTCACAAGGTTTTCACACACTGTTGCTGGTATTTTGGCCCATTCCTCCATGCAGATCTCCTCTAGAGCAGTGATGTTTTGGGGCTGTCGCTGGGCAACACGGACTTTCAACTCCCCCCAAAGATTTTCTATGGGGTTGAGATCTGGAGACTGGCTAGGCCACTCCAGGACCTTGAAATGCTTCTTACGAAGCCACTCCTTCGTTGCCCGGGCGATGTGTTTGGGATCATTGTCATGCTGAAAGACCCAGCCACGTTTCATCTTCAATGCCCTTGCTGATGGAAGGAGGTTTTCACTCAAAATCTCACGATACATGGCCCCATTCATTCTTTCCTTTACACGGATCAGTCGTCCTGGTCTCTTTGCAGAAAAACAGCCCCAAAGCATGATGTTTCCACCCCCATGCTTCACAGTAGGTATGGTGTTCTTTGGATGCAACTCAGCATTCTTTGTCCTCCAAACACGACGAGTTGAGTTTTTACCAAAAAGTTCTATTTTGGTTTCATCTGACCATATGACATTCTCCCAATCCTCTTCTGGATCATCCAAATGCACTCTAGCAAACTTCAGACGGGCCTGGCGTAAGCAGGGGGACACGTCTGGCACTGCAGGATTTGAGTCCCTGGCGGCGTAGTGTGTTACTGATGCTAGGCTTTGTTACTTTGGTCCCAGCTCTCTGCAGGTCATTCACTAGGTCCCCCCGTGTGGTTCTGGGATTTTTGCTCACCGTTCTTGTGATCATTTTGACCCCATGGGGTGAGATCTTGCATGGAGCCCCAGATCGAGGGAGATTATCAGTGGTCTTGTATGTCTTCCATTTCCTAATAATTGCTCCCACAGTTGATTTCTTCAAACCAAGCTGCTTACCTATTGCAGATTCAGTCTTCCCAGCCTGGTGCAGGTCTACAATTTTGTTTCTGGTGTCCTTTGACAGCTCTTTGGTCTTGGCCATAGTGGAGTTTGGAGTGTGACTGTTTGAGGTTGTGGACAGGTGTCTTTTATACTGATAACAAACTTCAAACAGGTGCCATTAATACAGGTAACGAGTGGAGGACAGAGGAGCCTCTTAAAGAGAAGTTTTAGGTCTGTGAGAGCCAGAAATCTTGCTTGTTTGTAGGTGACCAAATACTTATTTTCCACCATAATTTGCAAAAAAATTCATTAAAAATCCTACAATGTGAGTTTCTGGATTTTTTTCCCTCAATTTGTCTGTCATAGTTGACGTGTACCTATGATGAAAATTACAGGCCTCTCTCATCTTTTTAAGTGGGAGAACTTGCACAATTGGTGGCTGACTAAATACTTTTTTTCCCCACTGTATATTGATGATTTATAAAGCCAGGCACATTTAACAGTTTGGCTATTGATTATAGACCTAATTAAGTTGGGGTTTCCTCTCTCCTCAATTTTCTTAGACAATTAGGCTAAGGCATGGACTGTTTCCTTGTCTTTGCTGCTGCTGCCTCTGCCGCATTGTTCTCAATCAAAATATGCTGGTTAATTTAGCTATAATGCACATAGCAACATAGGAAAAGGCACCAATTCTACGGCGCACTGAAGATTATGTTTCAGAACCGCGGACAGCGACCGTATCCAACGCGGGAGAAAGCGCATTTGTTATAAAATAATATTAGATTTATTAGTGTTGCAACATTATTTTTACACAATATAACCATATACAATTTCAGTATAACATGTCTTGGAGTAATAGACTGTGCCATCCCCGTGGCCTCTGCAATGGATCAGTCCACTCAGACAGGTGCGAATCAGACCGGTGTCTTGTGCACCATGAACAAAAATAGCAATTGCGACTGCTTGACTAAAGAAGTCTTGGTTGACCAACAGCCTATCGACCAAACAGTCGACTAAATTGGGTCAGCCCTACTGTTGATTTAAAGTGGATTACGTGGACTGAGATGTGAGATAATCCGAGAGGACAGCAAAGGTATCTGGAGTGCAGCATGTTCAGACTCTCATAACCAGCCTCCATGACCCAGAACTGTAGGCCTGCCTGTGTACAGGGTTTGAACACTACCTGAGGTCACTGGGTCAGTACAGTCACTGTGTCTGCACCTGGTATTACAGAGTTACAGTGCCTTTGGAAAGTATTCAGACCCCTTGACTTTTTATACATTTTGTTACGTTACAGCCTTATTCTAAAAGGAATTTTTAAAAAAATCCTCAACAATCTACACACAATACCCCATAATGACAAAGCGTAAACAGGTTTGTAGAAATACCTTATTTATCATAAGTATTCAGACCCTTTGCTATGAGACTCGAAATTGAGCTCAGGTGCATCCTGTTTCCATTGATCATCCTTGAGATGTTTCTACAACTTGATTGGAGTCCACCTGTGGTCAATTCAATTGATTGGACATGATTTGGAAAGGCCTACACCTGTATATAAGGTCCCACAGTTGGGAGTGCATGTCAGAGCAAAAACCCATCCATGAGGTCGAAGGAATTGTGTCGAGGCTCAGATCTGGGGAAGGTTACCAAAACATTTCTGCAGCATTGAAGGTCCCCAGGAACACAGTGGCCTCCATCATTCTTAAATGGAAGAAGTTTGGAACCCCCAAGACCCTTCCTAGAGCTGGCCGCCCGGCCAAACCGAGCAATCGGGGGAGAAGGGCCTTGGTCAGGGAGGTCACCAAGAATCCGATGGTCACTCTGACAGAGCTTTAGAATTCCTCTGTGGAGATGGGAGAAGGACAACCATCTCTGCAGCAGTCCACCATTCAGGCCTTTATGGTAGAGTGGCCAGAAGGAAGCCACTCCTCATTAAAGGCACATGACAGCCCGCTTGGAGTTTGCCAAAAGGCACCTAAAAGACTCTCAGATCATGAGAAACAAGATTCTCTGGTCTGATGAAACCAACATTGAACTCTTTGGCCTGAATGCCAAGCGTCACGTCTGGAGGAATCCTGGCACCATCCCTACGGTGAAGCATGGTGGTGGCAGCATCATGCTATGGGGATGTTTTTCAGCTTCAGGGACTGGGAGACTAGTCAGGATCGAGGCAAAGATGAACGGAGGAAAGTACAAAGAGATCATTGATGAAAACCTGCTCCAGAGCGCTCAGGACCTCAGGCTGGGGCGAAGGTTCACCTTCCAACAGGACAACGACCCTAAGCACACAGCCAAGACAACGCCGGAGTGGCTTCTGGACAAGTCTCTGAATGTCCTTGAGTAGCCCAGCCAGAGCCTGGACTTGAACCCGATTGAACATCTCTGGAGAGACCTGAAAATAGTTGTGCAGCAACGCTCCCCATCCAACCTGACCAAGCTTGAGAGGATCTGCAGAGAAGGATGGGAGAAACTCCCCAAATACAGGTGTGCCAAGCTTGTAGCGTCATACCCAACAAGACTCAAGGCTGTAATCGCTGCCAAAGGTGCTTCAACAAAGTACTGAGTAAAGGGTCTGAATACTTATGTAAATGGGATATTTGTATTTTTTATTTGTATAATACAGTTTAGAATAAGGCTGTAACCTAACTAACTGTGGAAAAAGTCAAGGGGTCTGAATACTTTCCGAAGGCACTGTTATATTACAGAACATTAGCTACAAACGTTTCCAATCCAACCATGAATGGTCCAGATCAGGCAACAACAGTCTGACCATGAGCTTGGTGTATAGGCCTACACCTGCTGCTTCACACACACACACACACACACACAAAGCCTCACCCCCTGTCACTCAAGCAGAGCAGTTCCTCCTCCCCGCTATTAGATTCTCTAAGTTTGCTTGCTGTTCTGTCAGGTCAAATGCACTCATCTGATTGTTCCAAACAAGAACGATGCTGCTTTACATTTAGCTTCTTAATATAAATTGTTCTATTTTTATGATTCCAACCGTTCACCCAAGTGTTTTGAGATATATCGCAAGTCAAATCGCAATATAAGGTTAAAAAAATCACGTCACATTTCTTGGCCCATATTGTGCAGCCCTAGTGTGAGATATGAGGGTATTGTGGTTAATAACTCAGTGTTGTCCTCTCTGCAGCGTGCTATGGCATCGTGCAGGTGCCCACTGGACCCTGGTTCTGCAGGAAATGTGAATCTCAGGAGAGAGCAGCCAGAGTGGTGAGTCTGACCAATAGAATATCAACAATGCATTCTCAGCACTGTATTTTATGATAGAGCTTCCACTAGTATTTAGCTGGTACTTTCTAGGAAATTATGTGGTATAAATAGGTACTCTCTGGTACTTACTTCAAATAATTCAACACAATTGGCAACTACATGGTAGAGCTGGGACAATAAACCAAAAATTGTCACCGATCACTTATCGCAGGCGTTTTGCATATGTTGTTCATTACGATAAGTAGCCTATACTAGAGAAATGTGAGGTTTGAAATGAAATAACTTTGCTAATGTGGGTGATTGTTAGTGGGACAATTGATGGCTACAACTATTAGTAGTAGTTTAAAGGATAAAAAAAAAGAAATTGTTGCACATTAATGTTATAAACTTAAACCTATGCTATTTAGCATTATCACATTAATTTATGGTGATATGGAGTTTTGTCCATATCACCCAGCTTTACTACCTGGTAGTAAAGAGTACCATGTGGTGCTTGTATTAAAGAATCCAAAACAAACAAGTAGTACATTGGTTAATATTACAGTGACAGAGCCGGTCATGTCCGTGGAAGCAACAGACATGCCTAAGAAACACCCCAGAGTATTTCTCATAGGGGGAAAAACGGCATGTTTGTCTGTCCTTTCCTCATCATGGTTGTAGAAATGGTTAAACAGTGCTGTCATAGTCTCCTTTGATATTGTGTGGACGGAAACTGGCGGGAAAAGGAAGAGGAAAAACTCTCTCACACAGACACAGACACATGGGAAAGGGAAGCAGTCTTGGGCAGTAGATAGTGTGTTTGTACTGTAGGAGAAGCTGAGGCTTGATTTCAACTAGGCCCTCCCTTCCGCATAGTAGTATGACAGAACCGAATGTGAAAGCTATGGGGTGGAACCCCCTTACACCTATTTGTTGGATCAGTTATTACCCAAAAGTGTGTGTGTGTGTGTGTGTGAGAGAGAGAAAGAAAGTAGGTAGGGTACATGCTTGCGTGTGTATCAATAGTATACAGTGGGGAGAACAAGTATTTGATACACTGCCGATTTTGCAGGTTTTCCTACTTAAAAAGCATGTAGAGGTCTGTAATTTTTATCATAGGTACACTTCAACTGTGAGAGATGGAATTAAGTAATTAATTTGCATTTTATTGCATGACATAAGTATTTGATACATCAGAAAAGCAGAACTTAATATTTGGTACAGAAACCTTTGTTTGCAATTACAGAGATCATACGTTTCCTGTAGGACTTGACCAGGTTTGCACACACTGCAGCAGGGATTTTGGCCCACTCCTCCATACAGACCTTCTCCAGATCCTTCAGGTTTCGGGGCTGTCGCTGGGCAATACGGACTTTCAGCTCCCTCCAAAGATTTTCTATTGGGTTCAGGTCTGGAGACTGGCTAGGCCACTCCAGGATCTTGAGATGCTTCTTACGGAGCCACTCCTTAGTTGCCCTGGCTGTGTGTTTCGGGTCGTTGTCATGCTGGAAGACCCAGCCACGACCCATCTTCAATGCTCTTACTGAGGGAAGGAGTTTGTTGGCCAAGATCTCGCGATACATGGCCCCATCCATCCTCCCCTCAATACGGTGCAGTCGTCCTGTCCCCCTTGCAGAAAAGCATCCCCAAAGAATGATGTTTCCACCTCCATGCTTCACGGTTGGGATGGTGTTCTTGGGGTTGTACTCATCCTTCTTCTTCCTCCAAACACGGCGAGTGGAGTTTAGACCAAAAAGCTCTATTTTTGTCTCATCAGACCACATGACCTTCTCCCATTCCTCCTCTGGATCATCCAGATGGTCATTGGCAAACTTCAGACGGGCCTGGACATGCACTGGCTTGAGCAGGGGGACCTTGTGTGCGCTGCAGGATTTTAATCCATGACGGCGTAGTGTGTTACTAATGGTTTTCTTTGAGACTGTGGTCCCAGCTCTCTTCAGGTCATTGACCAGGTCCTGCCATGTAGTTCTGGGCTGATCCCTCACCTTCCTCATGATCATTGATGCCCCATGAGGTGAGATCTTGCATGGAGCCCCAGACCGAGGGTGATTGACCGTCATCTTGAACTTCTTCAATTTTCTAATAATAGCGCCAACAGTTGTTGCCTTCTCACCAAGCTGCTTGCCTATTGTCCTGTAGCCCATCCCAGCCTTGTGCAGGTCTACAATTTTATCCCTGATGTCCTTACACAGCTCTCTGGTCTTGGCCATTGTGGAGAGGTTGGAGTCTGTTTGATTGAGTGTGTGGACAGGTGTCTTTTATACAGGTAAAGAGTTCAAACAGGTGCAGTTAATACAGGTAATGAGTGGAGAACAGGAGGGCTTCTTAAAGAAAAACTAACAGGTCTGTGAGAGCCGGAATTCTTACTGGTTGGTAGGTGATCAAATACTTATGTCATGCAATAAAATGCAAATGAATTACTTAAAAATCATACAATGTGATTTTCTGGATTTTTGAAAATTACAGACCTCTACATGCTTTGTAAGTAGGAAAACCTGCAAAATCGGCAGTGTATCAAATACTTGTTCTCCCCACTGTATATCTGCATGGTAAAGAGTTTTGCTAATTGCCCGTGTCTCCCTCCCTCCTGTTTCTCTCTCTGCAGAGGTGTGAGCTGTGCCCCCACAAAGACGGCGCCCTCAAGAGGACCGATAACGGAGGTAAGAATCATCTATCTATCTGGGATATAGGTATATTGTGAGTAGGGATGTGACAAATTGGAAAATGTTCTTAAGGTTTAAACTGCCATTTTTATCGGTTTTCCTTTCGAAAAAGTAATACAATTCCATGTGAATTCGCAATGGTCTGGGTCTCACTGTGTGTCCCTTGAATGATTTTTAAATATAATTTTGCATTGTAATTTCAGTGATATTGGAACGATAGTCCTTCACAGTATTACTTACCCGCCAGTGTTGTGATTGGCTGTGATATTCGCCTATTGATTTCTGCTGCTGGGCCGGCATCTGACTTTGTGGCTGTGTTATCTAGTGGGAATCGGGTCAAGCGGCCAATGTAGAAATTGCTCTGTCATTTCCTGGTTGCTACACTGTTCGCTCAATTTCAGTTTATGTGAGAAAACAAGCACATAATATTGTAGGCAATCATTGTACCATCAAAATTGCTGAAAACATTTTCAATAACAACATATATTATTTTTACGGCTTTTTGAAGCTGGTGGACCAAAACCGAAAGTAAAAGGCTCAAGTGCGAGTCTCCGCCATGTGCGAGTTTCTGCCATCAGCACAGTTGAAATTGCGATGGAAACCTTTTAACTTGTATTTTGTATTCGGTACGTGGGAATTGAACCGCAAAAGGTATTTTTATGTGCACCTCGTCATCACGCACAGCCGTTTATCCGCAAACAAGTCAATTTTCTCTGGTGGGAAAATGAGCATATTGTTTTTATGCAGGTTTTAGAATATTTGCATGAAAATCTGTTGGCAATAGGATGGAAACCTAGCTAGTGATGTTCTTTTTTCCCACAGTTGGGTGTAGTGCATGGTCTTGTCCACTCTGTTCGAATGAGTCCTGCGTGGCTTGTGGGCCTTGTAGAGGGGAACAGACATATACATGTTCCTGAGAGTCTTATCTTTCATTGATGGGGTCATAATATTTTGTAGCTTAAACCGTTCAAAAGATAGAGCCACATTTGTAGGAAGAAAACAGAAACTGGTCTGTTTATTACAACCACATCTAGTGGCTACAGGAGGTTCCTGACGTAACCCCGGTTCTGTGAGCCAAGCCCAATTTTATTTTTTCGTCCAGAGTTTATCTCGCAACCCCATTTTCAAATCAGGCAACCCCACATGGGGTCGCAACCCCTAGTTTGTGAAACGCTGATATGGAGCCTCCTTGATTTGAGTACTCCCATCAACTATTGACACACACAGGCTGTTGGCCTCTAACAAGGTTCTGTGGTTAGCACATGCTTGTTTTGTCTCATTAATGGGATGTGTGCTCCTGTTGTGTGTGTTTATTAGGGGGCGAGCCAGGCTTGGGTTAACAGGGCTGTGAGGCAGCTCCTCTCTGGGTTCACCAGGAGGTCACAGCGAAGACTGTAAACATAGATGGAATGTACACTATATATACAAAAGTATGTGGACACCCCTTCAAATTAGTGAATTCAGCTATTTCAGCCACACCCGTTGCTGACAGGTATATCAAATCGAGCACACAGCCATGCAATCTCCATAGTCAAACATTGGCAGGAGAATGGCCTTACTGAAGAGCTCAGTGACTTTCAACATGGCACCGTCATAAGATGCCACCTTTCCAACAAGTCAGTTCATCAAATTTCTGCCCAGCTAGAGCTGCCCTTGTCAACTGTACGTGCTGTTATTGTGAAGTGGAAATGTCTAGGAGAAACAATGGCTCAGCTGCGAAGTGGTAGGTCACACAAGCTCACAGAACGGGACCACTGAGTGCTGAAGCGCACAGTACGTAAAAATCGTCTGTCCTCGGTTGCAACACTCACTACCAAGTTCCAAACTGCCTCTGGAAGCAACGTCAGCACAAAAACTGCTTGTCGGGAGCTTCATGAAATGGGTTTCCATGGCCGAGCAGCTGTAGACAAGCCTAAGACCATGCGCAATGCCAAGCGTCGGCTGGAGTGGTGTAAAGCGCGCCGCCGTTGGACTCTGGAGCAGTGGAAACGCGTTTTCTGGAGTGATGAATCACGCTTCACCATCTGGCAGTCCGACGGATGAATCTTGTTTAGCGGATGCCAGGAGAACGCTACCTGCTCCAATGCATAGTGCCAACTGTAAAGGTTGGTGAAGGAGGAATAATGGTTTGGGGCTGTTTTTCATGGTTCGGGCTAGGCCCCTTAGTTCCAGTGAAGGGAAATCTTAACGCTACAGCATACAATGACATTCTAGACAATTTAGTGCTTCCAACTTTGTGGCAACAGTTTGGGGAAGGTCCTTTCCTGTTTCAGCATGACAATGCCCCCATGCACAAAGCGAGGTCCATACAGAAATGGTTGGTCGAGATCAGTGTGGAAGAACTTGACTGGCCTGCACAGAGCCCTGACCTCAACCCCATCGAACACCTTTAGGATGAATTGGAACGCCGACTGCGAGACAGGCCTAATCGCCCAACATCAGTGCCCGACCTCACTAATGCTGTTGTGGCTGAATGGAAGCAAGTCCCCACAGCAATGTTCCAACATCTAGTGGAAAGCCTTCCAAGAAGTGTGGATGCTGTTATAGCAGCAAAGGGTGACCAACTCCATATGAATGCCCATGATTTTGGAATGAGATGTTTGACAAGCAGGTGTCCACATTATTCCATGATAAACAATTGCACACATTTAGCTCTATCATCTTTACAGCAAGTAACTGCTTTTCATGATCAGTAAACATGTATAATCATGTAATTTCAGATACGTGAAGGTACCTATCCATTTTGCATGTAGCTAGCTAGGCAAACAACATAATTTGCTTGCTTCATCAGAGATGAGACTTTTAGAAAGAGCTTGACATCGGCAAGTCCTCGTCCTGTTAAAGTTGTCAGTCGTACTACTGTCATCGCCACTATAGATCAAATCAAAATCAAATGTTATTTGTCACATGCGCCGAATTCAACAGGTGTAGACCTTACCGTGAAATGCTTACTTACAAGCCCTTAACCAACAATGCAGTTTTAAGAAAATAGTGTTAAGAAAATATTTACTAAATAAACGAAAGTAAAAAATATATAAGTAACACAAAATAACAATAATGAGGCTATATACAGGGGGTACCGGTACCGAGTCAATGTGCGGATGGCAAGCAAATCAAACAATAGTTTGTCCCATGAAAGTTAGCTTGTTAACTAGCCACATTGACGGGATCTGTTATTAGCTAGCTAGCCAATTTGACATGGTCCATCAATCATTGTTGCCTATATCATGTCTGTCAGCAGGAATTATAATTAAACACTCGTAAAAACAATGTTGAAAAGGGGATAATGTTAGCTAACTTCGATAGGTAGGCCTGTATTAGTTGGAGAAAAAAGTACATTAGGTCTACTTACCACTATGTTTAGCCAACTGTACAAAGTTTCTACCTGTAGCTTGCAAACTAACAAGTAGCTTGTGTGCGTCAATGCTCGTGTCCATGGAGACTGTATGGTTTTATGGCCCTGTTTTATAGTCCTCTGCCAGATTCTTGGAGGGACTTCAAAACAACAACATCCCCTTTCACACCCTCTTCCTCCTCCCCCTCTCATCCCCCCCTGTCCCCCCCCCCCCCCCCCCCCCACCCCCCGGCTAGGTCAAAGGCAGGTCAGAGGTTCAACTGTAAGTTGAAGCTTATTGTTGTTCCTGGAATAAAGGGAAAACAGAGAAAACAGAGGGGGGGATATAGGATTCACCACAATCTGACCTCTCATTCAACTGGCCCACTGCCCTTTCCTGCTCTAGTTAGTCAGCTACCTTTCCCATTCCCAGGAACACAATGATTGAAATGGAAAGGGATTTTGTTTGCTTCTTCCCTCTGTGTGCAGGTTGGGCCCAAGTGGTGTGTGTTTGAATAGGTAATAGTATGTGTGCTGATGTTTGTTCTCTGTGTGTGTATAGGTTGGGCCCATGTGGTGTGTGCCCTCTATATCCCAGAAGTGGAGTTTGCTAACGTCTCCACCATGGAACCCATCGTACTGCAGTCTGTACCCCACGATCGCTACAACAAGGTACACACACTTCACTCTGTCTGTTTGTATCCCTACATTTCTGTGTGTGACTGTTATTTCCTCTGTGTGTGTAGAAGTGTTATATCTGTGAGGACCAGGGCAGAGAGAGTAAAGCTGCCACCGGAGCCTGCATGACCTGTAACAAACATGGCTGCCGACAAGCCTTCCATGTCACATGGTGAGCCACATTCAAATACCTACAACTTTATTAACACGTGTTCACATGGTGAGCTTCATTCAAAAACCTACAATTTGTATGTAATATACACTGACTGTACATTAGGAACACATTCCTAATATTGAGTTGCCCCCCTTTTCCCTCAGAACAGCCTGAATTCGTCAGGGCATGGACTCCTCTGGATAAGAGCGTCTGCTAAATGACTAAAATGTAAATGTGTCGAAAGCGCTCCACAGGGATGCTGGCCCATGTTGACTCCAATGCTTCCCACAGTTGTCAAGTTGGCTGGATGTCCTTTGGGTGGTGGACCGTTCTTGATACACACGGGGAACTGTTGAGCGTGAAAAACCCAACAGCGTTGCAGTTCTTGACACACTCGAACCGGTGCGCCTGGCACCTACTACCATACCCCGTTCTAAGGCACTTAAATCTTTTGTCTTGCCCATTCACCTTCTGAATGGCACACATACACAATCCATGTCTGAATTGTCTCCAGGCTTATAAATCCTTCTTTAAACTGTCTCCTCCACTTCATCTACACTGATTGAAGTGGATTTAACAAGTGACATCAATAAGGGATCATAGCTTTCACCTGGATTCACCTGGTTAGTCTATGTGATGGAAAGAGCAGGTGTTCCTAATTCTTTTTTATTTAACCTTTATTTATCCAGGTTAGTCTCATTGAGATCAAATATTTTTTTCAAGAGAGACCTGGTCCAACCAAGACAGCAGCAGGGGGAACAATGTTTGAGACAAATATCAGACATGCTGTAACAACTTACAGACATACACACCATCAAATAAAACGTTTTGATGTAGACACACATGCATTTCAATTGCAGAAACATACAGGTGTCATAGGTTTAAAGAAATAAATCATATGGACCACAGCATCAAGTCCTAATGACAATCCCATTCCTCCTAATGTTTTATACACTCAGTGTATATCATCTTGTCTCTTATGTCTTCTCCTTTCACTTTTTGTCACATCTCTCTATCCCCTTCTCTCTCTTGACACGTATTCTCTGTCCTCTCCTCAGTGCCCAGTTTGCTGGGCTGTTGTGTGAGGAGCAGGGGTCGGACGCAGACAACGTCAAGTACTGTGGCTACTGCAAGTACCACTACAGCAAACTGGTAAGATATATCTCTCTATCTCTCTCTGTGTGTATTCTGTCTCACTTTCCTAACGTTCTTACTGTGCTGGGGGAAGAAGAGTGGTCTTACCTAAAAAACCTGGAATCTAGTTTGCTTCCTAACCCTCTGTCTGTCAGAACAAAAACTGTAAGCTTTTTGAAGGCCCGCATTTCCCCTACACACACTGGCACTCCATGCCATGGACACACACACACTGGGGAATACCTTTCATTTCTTGAATGACTTGACATTCTTCTCTGCCAATTACACCTACTGAAAGGGGAGCCATCCGTTCATCTCTACCTCCTCTAGCCCCTCTCTCTCTCCCTCCCTCCCTTCTCTCTTTCTCTCCCTCCCTTTTGCTCTCTCTATCCCTCCCTCCCTTCTCTCTCTCCCTCCAACCATCAACCCATTCCCTCTCTCCTCTTTCGCCCCTCCTCTCTTTCCCCCTCTCCAGCACCTCTCTCCCCCAGCCCCATCCCTCTCCCCCCTCCAGCCCCACTTCCTCCCTCTCCCATCAACCCCCATCTAATCAGCAGTGCCTCCCAGGCCCTTTGTCCCCTCCACCCCCCAGCTCCCTGTGTGCTATGCCCATGCCGGGTTAGAATTTGGGGGCTGGGAGAAGGTAGGGGGCTGTGGGTGAGGGGTACTGGGGTTAGGGTTACAAGTGGCCAAAGAGATGCTTTCCAATTAACATAAGTATACACCATTCCACACAGACACAGTATAAATGCTTCCAGTCACATACACATGCTCTCTCCCTCTCTCATTCCTTCTTTCACTCCCTCAGAGCTCTTTGGAGCGAGAGCCCCTGCTGTGTTGCAGATTTTGTGCTCCACCCCTAACATCCGTCAAGGGGGAAAATACACACGCACACACACATTTCCCCCCCGGTTATTAAACAACTAATTGACCGACTTCGGTTCAATTACTTGAATTCCAAGAACTATGTGGGACGCTGGGCTACAGGGAGTTGTAGTTTTCATTAGGCAAATATTCTACCTAGTTCAGCTGAGAAATGTGGTAATTAACTACAATGACCATAATCCATTGCGCCTGTTCTTTCCGGCTCGAACAGAGACAGATAGCCTACACACAGAGCGCATGGGAGAGGAATAAACACAACAACGAGGGATAGAGACAGTTCGTGAGGTACAGTGGGGGGGGAAAAAGTATTTAGTCAGCCACCAATTGTGCAAGATGAGAGAGGCCTGTAATTTTCACACGTCAACTATGACAGACAAATTGAGCATTTTTTTCTCCAGAAAATCACATTGTAGGATTTTTCATGAATTTATTTGCAAATTATGGTGGAAAATAAGTATTTGGTCACCTGAAAACAAGCAAAATTTCTGGCTCTCACAGACCTGTAACTTCTTCTTTAAGAGGCTCCTCTGTCCTCCACTCGTTACCTGTATTAATGGCACCTGTTTGAACTTGTTATCAGTATAAAAGACACCTGTCCACAACCTCAAACAGTCACACTCCAAACTCCACTATGGCCAAGACCAAAGAGCTGTCAAAGGACACCAGAAACAAAATTGTAGACCTGCACCAGGCTGGGAAGATTGAATCAGCAATAGGTAAGCAGCTTGGTTTGAAGAAATCAACTGTGGGAGCAATTATTAGGAAATGGAAGACATACAAGACCACTGATAATCTCCCTCGATCTGGGGCTCCACGCAAGATCTCACCCCGTGGGGTCAAAATGATCACAAGAACGGTGAGCAAAAATCCCAGAACCACACGGGGGGACATAGTGAATGACCTGCAGAGAGCTGGGACCAAAGTAACAAAGCCTACCATCAGTAACACACTACGCCGCCAGGGACTCAAATCCTGCAGTGCAAGACGTGTCCCCCTGCTTAAGCCAGTACATGTCCAGGCCCGTCTGAAGTTTGCTAGAATGCATTTGGATGATCCAGAAGAGGATTGGGAGAATGTCATATGGTCAGATGAAACCAAAATAGAACTTTTTGGTAAAAACTCAACTCGTCGTGTTTGGAGGACAAAGAATGCTGAGTTGCATCCAAAGAACACCATACCTACTGTGAAGCATGGGGGTGGAAACATCATGCTTTGGGGCTGTTTTTCTGCAAAGGGACCAGGACGACTGATCCGTGTAAAGGAAAGAATGAATGGGGCCATGTATCGTGAGATTTTGAGTGAAAACCTCCTTCCATCAGCAAGGGCATTGAAGATGAAACGTGGCTGGGTCTTTCAGCATGACAATGATCCCAAACACACCGCCCGGGCAACGAAGGAGTGGCTTCGTAAGAAGCATTTCAAGGTCCTGGAGTGGCCTAGCCAGTCTCCAGATCTCAACCCCATAGAAAATCTTTGGAGGGAGTTGAAAGTCCGTGTTGCCCAGCGACAGCCCCAAAACATCACTGCTCTAGAGGAGATCTGCATGGAGGAATGGGACAAAATACCAGCAACAGTGTGTGAAAACCTTGTGAAGACTTACAGAAAAAGTTTGACCTGTGTCATTGCCAACAAAGGGTATATAACAAAGTATTGAGAAACTTTTGTTATTGACCAAATACTTATTTTCCACCATAATTTGCAAATAAATTCATTAAAAATCCTACAATGTGATTTTCTGGATTTCTTTTCCTCATTTTGTCTGTCATAGTTGACGTGTACCTATGATGAAAATTACAGGCCTCTCTCATCTTTTTAAGTGGGAGAACTTGCACAATTGGTGGCTGACTAAATACTTTTTTCCCCCACTGTAGCTCTGCTCGATTGAAAGTTGTAGTAGTTGGTAATAAGCAGTCTTAAAATTATGCCTTATTTACTTTAAAGAACTAGTCAAATGATTTCGTCAGACAGCTCTGCAGCATACTTAGGCAGCTACGATTTATAGCCAGCTAGCTACTAGCTTAGCTAAATTGGTCCAAGACCGTACCTTATGGGGAGCACAGAGATAACGTTAAATTGTTGATTGTCTGGCTGGTACTGCCTGTGCAGAGATGAGATTAAGAATATAAGGAATGAAAAATAATAGTAATCAAATAACTAATTTATATACAGAATTGAAATATTTTATTATTTCATAGTAATTTCCTAATTCTCTATTAATGTCTACCCAATGTGGACCAGACAGAGACAATGGAATGTTTTGGCAATTGAATGTTCACAATTTTTTGCTTTGAAAACCCATTAAAAAGCTCAAATCATTTTGTCATTATTTCATAATGCATTTAATAAAAAATTTAAAATAAAGTAATAGCTAAATCGAAAACGTGATTATTTGTTACTAACTGAACCGAAACTGAACCGACCTCAAAAAGCACTAATCACTCAGCACTAACACACACACACACACACACACACACACACACACACACACACACACACACACACAATGTTAACAAATGCTTGTTAAGAAATGCTATTGAACCTGTGTAATGGCTTTGTATGGCCTGATGTAATTAGGCTGGTACAGCATAGAGGAGATGAGAAACGCATGAGGAATCAAGGACAGACAAACCAATGTTATTAGAATGGATTTCATAAGACGCCACATGGGTTGATGAGTGACATTTACTGGATTTGTCTTCTTGTTGGGACTAGTGACATTGTGATGTTTTGAAATTAATACTCCTCTTTATGCGGTCAATGGGGCCATAAATAATTATGGTGTTTTCTTACAGTAAACAAGAATGGGTCTAGCTCAATGTTTGTTTCCTTGAATAGATTGGTGGTAAATCTAATCAACTTGAAATAGTCTGCTGCTGGTATATTGCGCCTGAGAGAGTTTTTTTTTTTTTTTGTACAACCATGTCTCTTTGTTGATATTTTGTTTTACTATATTAATAAACCTATATTTTGCTTTCCTTTATTTATTAATTTGGTCTTTATTTA